CAAATAATGCATATTTTGCTTGGGTTTCTTAACCCCAAGGATGCATTCCCCCAAAGTGTCGTTTGGATACACATAAAAAAATAATTGTTTAGTCATGGCAGAGATTCTCGCACCATCAACCTGTGAAAAATGTGTTGCTTACGACGGATCAGCTTTATATGAATAATACAAAATCTGAGGTTTGAAAACGTTTGCGAGAGGACACAAGGGTTTGAACAAAGTATTTCGGCACTCATTTTCACAAAAGAAACTGTTTTTTTTTTATATTTGTACGTGATTAGTTTTCAGTATATAAATATGTATCAGATACCAAAAGCAAGATTTCTTTAAACCCTAAGGGGAGAAAAGAAAAAAAAAAGAAAATCTGTTTCAAGCAGCACGTGCCATTTAAATGTTTAGAGTACGTCTCAAGTCTTAAAATCGTATGTGTCAAACCCACTCAAAATGACATGAACATGTATAGCGTATGAAATGTAATTTTATAAAGGTGGAAAATATGTCACTGGCTGCCCATAAATGTAAATGCTGCTTGATTTTGTACGATTCAAAAAAGCTTGTGTTATAACTTTGTATGAGGTTTACAGAGTTCAATCATTTAGTATGTGAAACACTTTAGGTTATAAGTTTAACTGTTGAAATTCTATCACATTTTATTTGTAAGTTTTTGCAATAATTTTTTTCAAAGAGGGAATTAGGTTGTTTATTGCGCTGAAATACTGATTTTCTATCATTTATGATTATCTGTATTGAAATGTAATAAATACAGTTGCAACACTTAATGGAACTGATGCTAGATAAATAATCTAATGACGTTTCAGTGATTAGATTAGGGACGACATCAGGGACGACAATCTAAACGGTCAGCAGAAGAATTACATGGACGAATTGGCTGTGATGCCATTAAAACAATAGTATATGATTTATTACATATAAGCAAAAATGGGAATTTCTTAAATTGGCATTTCGGGATACGCGAGAAAAGATATTGCTATGATATACTGGGATAGGAGAACACTCGAGTAGGGGTATTTCTGTGATATACTGGGATTAGCAAACAGTGACGTCTTAACAACATTATAGTCTCTGGGCAAAAAGCAATGCACTGGGGCCTCTTACCCGCCCTACTATTCATTAACAATATGGTCACGATGACCCTGGAAGTGTGGGGGCCTGGGCAGCTGCCCAGTGTGCCCATGCCTTAAGACTGCACTGTTATCGAATACACGAGTAGGGGAACTGTTTTGATATACTGGCAACGGCGAGGGTACGAACAGAGATCCTGGGTTTAAGGATAATATACTACACAAGTCTGGGTACAGCTGTAATAAACTGTGATTGACGAATACACGAGTAGGGTCACTGATGCGATACATTGGGACTGGGAACACACGAGTAAGGCCATTGATGTGATACATTGGGACTGGGGAACACACGAGTAGGGCCACCGATGCGATACACTGGGACTGAAAACACACAAGTAGTGTCACTGTTGCAATACATTGGGACTGGGAACACACGAGTAGGGCCACTGATGCAATACATTGGAACTGGGAACACAGGAGTAGGGCCACTGATGTGATACACTAGAATTGGGGAACACACGAGTAGGGCCACTGATGCGATATATTGGGACTGAAAACACACAAGTAGGGCCACTGATGCGATACATTGGGACTGGGAACACACAAGTAGGGCCACTGATGCGATACATTGGGACTGGGAACACACGAGTAGGGCCACTGATGCGATACATTGGGACTGGGAACACACAGGTAGGGCCACTGATGCGATACATTGGGACTGGGAACACACAAGTAGGGCCACTGATGCGATACATTGGGACTGGGAACACACAAGTAGGGTCACTGTTGCAATACATTGGGACTGGGAACACACGAGTAGGGCCACTGATGCAATACATTGGAACTGGGAACACAGGTGTAGGGCCACTGATGTGATACACTAGAATTGGGGAATACAGGAGTAGGGCACTGATGCGATATATTGGGACTGAAAACACACAAGTAGGGCCACTGATGCGATACATTGGGACTGGGAACACACAGGTAGGGCCACTGATGCGATACATTGGGACTGGGAACACACGAGTAAGGCCACTGATGTGATACAATGGGATTGGGGAACACAAGATGGTGCACTGCTGTGCTACACTGGGCCTGGATAATACTAGAGGAGGAGAACTGCTGTAACGTACTGGGATTGCGGAATACATGAGTGTGATATCAGCAGAGTGACCATATTTTATAATTCTTTTTAGTTTTTCTGTCACTGTCAAATTAATATATTCTTCTTCTGGCCAAGTTCTAATATTATCAATATCAGTGATATTATGTTTTTTAATAAACTCATCATAATCGGATTCGTCTATTTTTATCCTAGCTTGTTTTCTGTAAAATTTTATAGATTCTTCAGAAGGTATCATTTTTATCACACTTTCTTGTAAAATTGTTTTTTTTTGTTTCTCAGCTAACTCTTTTTTTTGTCCTGACACTTTTTTATCATCCTTTTTAACTCATTTGGATTTACCGTCATTCTTGTTATTGCATGTTGAAGTGCAAGATGATTGTTCATTAGCCTACCAAACTCAGCTTGTCGTGCAAGAGGATCAGTAATGTGTCTTACAAGTTCGTTTACAATTTGTACAGTTTCTTCTTTCGATCTTTCTCCAAGTAAACCTAACAAACCTTTTTCTTTCATTTTTGCTAGTTCTTCTGGAGACAATGTGGATATTTCTGGTTGCTTGCCAAGTACTACCTCAGTAACAGGTTTAAAAAGTTTAACAGTTTCTTCTTCTGCTTGAACTTGTCCACGTCGAGGTTCTTCTATTTTTTATTTTTAAAGCCGCTCAAGTTTCGAGAAACTCTTTTAGCAATTCAATTTTTTTGTTGATGCTTGTCATTATTTTATATACGCTTTACAAAATTAGATCACAGAAACGTGTCAATGCAACAAGGAAAATTTTAGTTGTATCACGCGCTAGCTTGTCAAATAAAAAGAAATTGTACCTGTCTTTGGTTGCATGATGATATAATTCGATAAACTTATCTTTTGTGACATCACCACATTGTTCGTTTGCAATATTTCTCATATCAACATTGTCCAGTCCGGGAAATAATATGAAACAACCAGTATTTCGCCTAATAAATCTATCAACATTATAAAAACCTTGAGCGAGATAAACATAATTGCATCTTTTATTACGTGATAATGAAAAATAAGATCTAATCTTGTTCATCTCCTCGTTGTTTAGCAGAATATCATCGAAGACGATTATTTTATGCTCGGACGAATCAAGTTCGTTCACTGGAACAAGTTCTTCTAGTTTTTTTTTTATATATAAAAAATATCTCTTCGCCAGGGTCAAGTTCATCACGAAGTTTATCATTGTACTCGTTTAGTAATTCGTATTTGTCCTGTTTAGGATTAATTGTGTAAATGTATACCTTATCATAGTTGAAGTTATTGTTGAGCAAAAGATTTAATAAAAGATTTCAGATTTATTTTACCCGATCCTGTTCGCCCAACAAAAAGATAATGACAGTCTGGAAGTTCATTGTTATGTATATGCTTCACCGAACGTTCGGTATCAAAATTTATTATCTTTGCCATCGTATAATTGTATATCACATCAAACCAACAATTTTGTGTAGGACGATAATTATAATGGGCTACTATACAAAGTTCGGAACATTATTAATAGATTCGTCAGATAAAGCTCAGCAAGGTGATTTATCAAGATACGTAATTTTTGATCAGTTCAGAAATGAAATCAATAATCTATTAAATATCACAAGCGTGGATGCAAATGAAGTCGTTGCTTTCCAAAATAGAAGAGGATAATTAAAGACGAATAATGTACAACTGTCAGATGTACTTGTACGAAATCCTACTACAAGTTGTTAATAATATCGTTACTTTTAATAACCAAGGTAAGATACAAGATTCTGGTAGGTCAGTTAATGATTATGTTAAAAAAGCTGGTGATTTATTTACTGGGGACATTATTATGGACCAGAAGAAGATTACATACCTTGAAAACCCAACCGAAGATAATGATGCTGCAATGAAGAAATACGTTGACGATCAAGAATCAAAGTACTTGTCAGTGGTGGTGGTATGATGTATGCACTTCTCAACATGAACGATAATGGCATCAGTAATCTTAGAACACCAGAGTCTGATTTTGCTGCAACGAAGAAATATATAATTGATCTTTAATCAACCATAGAAATAATAGCCATAAAACGAATATTATATCGGTATATTGGAACATATTGTTGAAATCTAAGTTCCGGAAACATTATCTGTTCAAAGGTGGTCAAAATTTGTAACTCAGTAGATCTGTGAGATTTTAGATGTTATATACTATATCACATTCTCGTTGAATCTCACACCCTTTCAACAGTGTGCAAAATATACTTGTTACCGTATATACTCGCTTATAAAACGAGTACAACTGCAAAATTAAAATACCCAGACTTACCGCCCTTAGAAGAAATAAAAAAAATCGGAAGAATACTTCCTGTTTCATTCAAGCGTAATCAGTTCCCAGGCATTGATTTTCGGATACCTTTTTTTTCGGACCCTGCAAAAGTTGTATTACTTACGACGGCACTATTTTATATGAATAATACACAGTTTTCCGTGTGCAAACATTTGCCAGAGTTGCATGAAAAGTTTGCACTCTGCAAATTATGAATGTTCTTTATATTATACAAGAAGTTATTTGCAGTTAATATATTCTCAAATAACTAGACATAAGAATTTGTAACAGATGAAACTAAATGTCCCTTCCCACACAAAAATCACAAAAGAGAAAGATAACGAAACCTGTTGCAGCAGTACGTGCCATTCAGATATTTGAGTACAAGTGGCGTCTTAATATAGCACGTGTCAAACCTGTTAAAACTGACATGAACTAGAGAAAGTATTATGTATTTAATGTAGTGTTTAAATGTACAAGTATGTATCGTCATACCGCTCCGGTGACTTAAGTGGTTAGAGTGTCCGCCTCGGATGAAGGAGGTCGCGGGTTCGAGTCCCAGCCGAGTCATACTAACGATTTATACAGATTGTTCTAGCAGCTGCCTCGCTAGGCACTCATCATTAAGGGGTTCGTTGTTGGATTTTTTTGTCTGCCTGGGGTCAGAATAATGTAACTGAGTGGGATATGTTTCTGAATGTTTGCGGCATGATGCTCCAGTACTAGACATTACTATAAACTGCCTCACTGCAGACATTGTAGCGATATGACTGAACAAAATATTACAGCTACTCTAAAAATCCAACACACACACACATCTAACATGTATGAGCAAAGTGTGTGTTTGCTTTGATTTTTAATGTAGCTTTAACATTTTTATAGTCATGTCGCTACGATGTCTGCAGTGTATGCACTGACAATTGATAGTTTCTTATTTTCATCATTTTGCATGTCTAACGCTTTTACTTAAAGTTTTAATCTATTGAATTTCAATGTCATTTTGCAAAATCTAAAATAGCAGCAGAGAGACTGAACCCTACAAAATTTTGCTCGAATCATTAACAAAAAAAAGGTTCCTGCAGAGGCTGAAAAAAAAATACTTCAACAACGCTAAACCAAAGTCTCTAAGTATATTTCCATACGCCTGACTTTGTCATGAGGTTAGCTCAGTTTTTTTATACTATTGTTGACGTATTTTTTTTACTTTGTCAGGTATTTTGTTTACTTGTAAAGCGACACAATTGTTGTCCTTTATCCCCCTCTCTGCTGCTATTGATAGTCAAGGGGAGTTTAACCAAAGAATTTATCTAGACCTCCACGATATCTTGATCTTGGATCATGTAGATTTATCGTTATAAATCCAAACGGAACATATTGTGCTTTAGAAAAGAAATTTTTAAACTTATTCATATCCATGTCCCCTGAACACCAGGTATAATATATATTCTGTAGAGTATATTTATCTACTCCATTAAACACAACTAGAATATTACAGTTATCTCTGATCACCATAGGTATTTGTGTATATCGTTGTGTAACATAAATCACGTCTGTATTTTTGTGTCTACCTCGAGAAAATATTCTAGCTGGAATAGATTGTTTGTCCAGCAAAGCATCGTCATATACTACGAGATTATTAATGAATCCATCTAAGTCATCTACAGACGCGGCTTCATCTATATCTGTGATAAAGTCAATAATATCGTCACCGTCTTTATTAACTGATTTTGCTTTTTCGTTAAAATCCTTAAGTACTTTGTAACAATGCTGATCATCTACAGATGGTGCTATTAAATATAGTTTGTTCCATCTCAACCACCTCATTATTAAATTTAATAATAATTGTGTTTTACCTGATCCAGATGGACCTATTATGATCATTCTTATCGAATTTGGTAATGCTGGATGGTGCTTTACTGGTTCCTGTGTTCGTGTAGCCGAAAAGTCAATTATTGTATCCATATTACTAATAACATGAGTCTATATTGTGTTCAGTAGATCTGTGAGATTTTAGATGTTCGATGTAGATCATCTACACCCACCACTGGATTAACAACAATAATAACAAAAAATAAACGACGTGCATTAACAGGTAAATGTGTAAAATGTGGTACACAAAAATATAAATTTATCTCAGGGACAACAAAGATAGGTGGGGATATTGTTGCTTCTTTAGGAAAATTACCTGGATTACCATGAGCTAAGTATGCTGGTGAGAAACACCTTCCTGGATATAATTATTGTGGTCCTAGAATTCGTCTTGATATCAGACTCGATAACCAAGATCGACCAAGACCAGGAGAGTATCCAGTAAATAATATCGATCAAGCATGTCACATTCATAACGTTGCTTATAAAAATCCTGATTTGCAACAACGGCATCTCGCAGATGTGAAATTGATTCATGCATTAAATTCTATACCTAATAAATCTGTTAGAGAGAAACTCGCCAGTTTTCTAATGAAATCTGCTATGAAAGGTAAAATAATGATAGGAGCTGGTAATTAGTCAACTGATAATTATAATGGAATCTGTTTATTATTCCCCGAGAGGGTATTGGCGAGGTAAGGCAGTGATTAGCAAACTTGCCGCTTCAGCAGAAGTTTCGCGTTGTTGCTGCAGCGTGGTTAGCACGACAGGCAATATGGCAAATCTTTCTAAATCCACCTAAAAAAATTCAATACGCACATTTCGATGTCAACGTTTCTAATGAAGTTCATCAAGCGGTTATCTTGTTTTTGCCACACGATACCATTAAAACAGGTAGACGTCAGCACACATACAGATACGCTTTAACCGTCGTTGACGTTACAAGTAGATATAAAGAAGCGGAACCGCTATCAGCAAAGACAGCATCTGAAGTTGCTTCTGCGTTCGAACGAATTTATCAGCGAGGACCATTACAATGACCAAAACTACTACAGGTTGATCCTGGCAAAGAATTTCTTGATGCAGTATCATCGTTGATGAACAAACACAACGTTAAAATCAGACGAGGACATACTGATATTCATCGTTGAACGATTTAATCGAACACTTGCTGAACGGTTATTCAGGTATCAATATGCAAAGGAAATATCCACAGATACAAGATCTCTTGAATGGGTTGCGAGGTTACCGAGTGTGATAGCTGCGCTGAATAAGGAAGTTACTCGTGAAACTTCTATGAAACCATCTGATGCGATCACAAAAAAATATACCGATAAAACGTAAATCTATTTCTCAACCATTACTAGGCAATGTTACGGTTAGATATTTATACGAACCTGGCGAACTTGAAGGAGGCAGAAAAAGGGCAACTGATCTCATTTGGAGTGTGACCACACACAAAATATCCAGCGTGGTAAGGTCCACAGGTAGACCTGCAATCTACAGATTAGATTTTACTGCTCCTCAGCGTGGATTTGTACGTGAACAATTACAAATAATTCCTGAAGATACGCAATTACCAAAGAGTACACTTTTATAAACTTGCAGCTCCTCGACATCGATTACACTCCAAACAGGTCAGCATTTTCGCGCGTATTACCAAGACTACTATTAATTCTATCAACGGTAAATTGTCTTGGGTTATTGCTCGAATACTACCACAATATTATTGCGTTGCAATTTGTGCAATGATTATTTTGTCGTTGTTTTAACATCATAATAATATCCACATCTATATAAAACTCGCGATTATTTTTTTGTCACACTGCTTATAGCTGACTAATTTTTTTTATTGATATCGACTATCCAAACTTTAGTATCAGTGATAGTTATTCCCTGCGACGAATGAATCGTTATAGCGTACCATAACGTCCATGGTGATTTATCGATGTTTAACGCGCTCTCGACAACGTCAACAGCGACAAGGACAATATCATTTAACACAAGATTTTGTATTCGGACAATTTCAGTGTCTGCACTAGGAATCTTAACATCAACATTTTGTTGTCTAGTATCTGCAGGGCGATAACACAACGGTACAGGTAACTTTGGGAATTTTTCCTTTTGTAACGCATAATTTTTCTTTTGTAGTTCGTCACGAACTATTTTCTACTGGCAACTATCATAGCAGCAGGTAAAAAAAAAATCCAAAAATCATTCATGGATGTTTCGGGAATTATCTCACGCATTACTTCACACTGTATTTTATCTGTTTGTAGTCGTATTAGTCTTTTGAATTCTTTCAGCGACTCATCAACAGCTCTATGATCATCAGATATTTCTTCATAATAATCTACATTGTTCTTTAGCCACTCATGTGGAGACTGCCCAACAAAGTGTGGTGGTTGACCATGATCGCCACACATAAATACAGCAGTATTCTTTAGTAACAGCCAATCAAGAAATATTTGTAATACCTCCAGAGTCACCGTGTATATCTCGTCCCATATGATAATTTTAGGTATATATTTTTCACCCATTCGTGATGGGGTCCATGTATCTCCACACCATCTAAAGAATCTATGATATGTACACGACTTCACATCTCGTTGCTTTATTTCCCTGTCGAGTTTGTGCGTTGGTGTTAAGACAATCATATCTAAACTCATGAATAAGTTAATCGCGTGTGTTGTTTTACCTGAACCTCCACACCCATTAAGATAAAGGATATTATGTCTAGATACAGGATCATACACGGATGGTGCAGATGATTTTGATACTTGATTATTTCTGTAATATGTTTCCTCAATTTCAGCATCGGCAGATTCACAATAACTAAGTATATTTTCTTGTTTTATTCTTCACGTTCGCCATTCACCATACCGAGATTTAATTAATTTTTATATTTTTGTGTGCATAAAATGAATCTGTAACAACTCTATCAGCGTAACGAGGAAATCTGTTTTGTTTTGTTTGATAAATAAGCATGACATCGACTAATAAATGTGTTTTTCTTCATCGTATCAGCGATTATAAAATCGAGTTCATCATCGTCCATGATCAATTTTGTACAAGTTCGTTTATGATCATGTGATCCACCTTGTGTAAACTTACCGATTATTTTTTCTGCCGAGATCTTTTGCAAGTTTCTCATCGTGTTTAGCATGTTCTGGCAACCAAACTTGCTTTTGCACGCGATATGATATAATAGCTTCAGATACTTTCAACGATATTAAAACTTCAGCATCGAGCATATATCTTAGCAGAACTATTGGAGCCCAACATTTTTCAGAAAAATTTTTCCAAACCACGTGTAAACAATCGGATGGAGACCTTCTATAAACTCAAACGACTCTACGTAAGTAAATCCTAATGAGTCAAAATCTGGTAAGGGTCCATTTATCGCAACTTTAGTCATATCATACGTAGGATGTCCTAATCTCTTAAAGTATTTAGTACACTCTCCATATCCAAGAAAACTCTCAGGATAAAACGCTACCATATCATCTGAGATAACTTCATTGTAATTATATTTAGTATTCCACAATCCACCATGTCCGTATTCGATACAACTTCTTACGACATCTTCAAGAAATTCTAATCGTGTCGGTTTTCACGAATGTTTCTCCTGAGCAAAATGAGCAGCAACCGATGGTACGGTAAAACTATTACTTAGTAGTTGTTTAACTTTGACATTTTCA